TCTCACGTACTGCTATTACTATTATGATTTGTTGACTATGATTATTGGAAATGCCAAATTTCAGTTCAAGGTTAATGAAAATGAAATTATAATAATTTTATTCCCATCCAAGTTCATAGATTACCCCCTGAAGTATGTGGCTAATGGACTCCAAGATAACCCCTAGTTTAACTCTTTAAGCTATGGAGTTAAACTCTAATTTGTAGAGTTAGATACACCCTATTCTGAAGTCCAGTGGACATTGAATGTCCATTCTCCCAAGCACAAATACTTGTTGTGCATCTGTGCTAGTTTTGAAACGTGGTGGGAGAGGAGTCACTGTCTGCTGTAGGCTGAATAATGCTCCCCGTCCTTTTCCCAAAGAAGTCCACATCTTTTTTTTTTTTTTTTTTGAGATGGAGTCTTGCCCTGTCGCCCAGGCTGGAGTGCAGTGGCGCGATCTTGGATCACTGCAACCTCTGCCTCCCGGGTTCAAGCGATTCTCCTGCCGCAGCCTCCCGAGTAGCTGGGATTACAGGTGTACGCCACCATGCCCAGCTAATTTTTGCATTTTTAGTAGAGATGGGATTTCACCATGTTGGTCAGGCTGGTCTCGAACTTCTGACTTCCTGATCCACCCGCCTCGGCCTCCCAAAGTGCTGGGATTACAGGCGTGAGCCACTGCACCTGGCTGAAGTCCACATCTTAATCCTGGAACCAGTGAGTATGTTAGGTTATGTAGCAAGCGGGAGTTAAGGTTGAAGATGGAATTAAGATTGCTAATCAGCTGATCTTAAGATATGGAAGTTACCCTGGATTATCTGGGCGGGACAGTGTAATCACAAGGATCGTTAAAAATGTAAGACAGGCTATGAAAGATGATATGGAAGAGACACAAAGAGATGCAGTATTGCTGGCTTTGAAGATGGAAGAAGTGGTCCGTGAGCCAAGGAACCCTAGAAGCCAGAAAGGGCAAGGAAACAGATTGTTTCCTAGAACCTCCAGAAAGGAACACAGCCCGACTGACACCTTGATTTTAACTCATCAAAACCCACTGGACTTTTTCAGAACTGTAAGATAATTTGCATTGTTTAAACTGTTAAATTTGTGATAATTTGTTGCAGCAGCAATAAAAACTAATAGGCTGTCCCGCCTCACTCATTTCTTCCTAGAAGTAAAGGTGGCAAAACCAACAGTATTTCATGCTAAGTTCTTCCAGGGTAATTTTTAAAGATTCCATGGCTGCTCCCTTATGATCTGGGTTTAGCTCCTGGGACAGACTTACTCCTAATTGTTCTTGTCTTATTACATTAGTGTGATCACACAAACTCCTTAACTCTATCTTGCCTTACTGTAAAGTATACTAATTTTCCCTCCAAAAATTAGTTACCTCATCCTCCAAGAGCCGTGTTACCTTACCATTTAATTTGGATTTGACCTCTAAATACAGTTGAGTTTTAACAGTACCTCCCCTTTTGAGATCCTTTGACTGTAATGTAAGGGTTCTGTGTGAGCAGAGAGCAGTTAAGCAACATGAGGAAGAATCACAACTGGACAACCTAAAGGGAAGTTGCCCAGAATCACAGCAGTACTTCAAATAGTGAATGGCTTTGTCAGCTCTGAGGGGCAACAAGCCCATATCTGTCCTTCTCTGAGTTAAGAAAATGGTGCTAGTGGCCTAGAATGGCTTGAGGCTGGTATTTGTGGAGAAATACCTGCTCTTAACAAAAGTGCTCTCTCTTTCTGGCATACCTTTCTAGTACCTCTCTGCCAAGACCACACTACTACACAATTTTAAAAAAGAAAAAGAAAAATGCACACCTAAGTAAGTAATGCCAACTTAGCATAGAAAAATAGGTGAAGAACATCAAGACAAGTCATAGGTTCAAATGACCAGCAAAATGAGTGGAAAGAAATTTTCACTACTCAATCTAGTGAAGATTTTTTTTTTTTTTTTTTTTTTTGAGATGGAGTCTTACTCTGTCATCCAGGCTGGAGTGCAGTGGCTCGATAGCTCACTGCAGCCTCTGCCTCCTGGATTCAAGCAATTCTCCTGCCTCACCCTCCCAAGTAGCTGGGATTACAGGCACCCGCCACCACACCCAGCTAATTTTTGTATTTTTAGTAGAGACAGGGTTTCACCGTGTTGACCAGGCTGGTCTCAAACTCCTGACCTCAGGCTATGTGGGCGCCTCTGCCTCCCAAAGGTTATTTGCTCACCTCTGCTTCCCAGAGTGCTGGGATTACAGGTGTGAGCCACCGTGCCCAGCGCAAAGATTTTTTAAAAGAATGTTTAGTGTTGCTGTGGATGCTGCACTCATACTCACTTCTGGGGGAATGTAAATTGTTGGTCTTTCTGGAAGGGAGCGTAGCAGAGCCTTTGAAACTTTTATGTCCGACAATTCTACTTAAGAATCTATCCCAAGAAAATAATCAGATGTGGATTTATATATAGGATGGGACTTACAGTAGTATTTGGTGGAACCTGGAAACTGTCCAGCCTTAGGGGAATGATTATGTCGTATATCCATATAATGGAGAGTTAAATAACTAAAAGTGGGATTTTTGTACACTTTTTAATGACATGAGAAAATGCTCAGGTAGTAGAGGGGAAAAAACAGGATACAGAGTTTTACATAGGTAGATTAATCTTGTAAGAGAACTATAGAAAAAAGATTAGGATAGTAAGTATGGTCATGTCTATCTTCAGCTCTCTTAGAACTCAGCCATGTGTGATTTTTGGGATGGAGTCCCAGAGGATATCTGAGAGCAGTTTTCTGTTCTCACAGGTAGTTGTTATCTAGCTTACTAAGGGAACATAAGTCTGTTTTAATTACAGTTTGGGTTTGTTTTGTTTTTGAGACAGGGTCTTGCTCTGTCACCCAGACTGGAGTGCAGTGGTGTGATCATGGCTCACTGCAACCTTGACTTCCTGGGCTCAAGTGATCCTCCCACCTCAGCCTCCAGAGTAGCTGGGGCTACAGGTGCACACCGTCAGGCTAGGCAACTTTTTAAAAAATTTTTTTCTAGGGACAGGGCCTCACTGTGTTGCTGAGGCTGGTCTCCAACTCCTGGGCTCAACCAATCCTCCCACCTTGGCCTCCCAAAGTGGTAGGTTTATAGGTGTGAGCCACCACATGTGGCCACAGTTTGGGCTTTTGAAAAGGGTTAGGTGAAGGAAAAGAGGTATTAGTACTCTAGTTTTCACTGCAGTATCCCATTCGTGTGGGTCTGTCTCTTGAGGGAAAGATAGACTACTGTTCTAACACTGCTCCAGAAAATATTCTTAGTCATTAACCTTCCAAGTTAAATGGTGGATCAGAAATGGAAAGTTGGCTTTATTCATATTCATATCACAGGAATGGGTCCTTCTAGGCATTTTTTAAATGACTATATTCTAACCTATGCCTTTTTCTGTTGTTTTAGTCTCCCCCGTGAGCTACTAGTAAATTACATTTGTATACATGTATCCTTAATGTATACTGGATTTTAATCTCTCATAGATCTCTATTTGGAGATGACTGGTGTCAGTGGGAAGTGAATGAAATCAGGTGGCTTCATATGAGATCTATGTACTGTACAAGAGTGTAGGAAGGAAGTAGTTGTGGAAGAAGGTGGGTGGTGATTGGTGATGTGTGAAGCAAAAGGGAAATGCTGCTTTTGTACTTATCCTGTCTGTCTTTCTGCAGTGATTTTTTAGTTTTGTTTTTAAGATTGTTAAAGCAGCTAGAGGACAGGACCACTGTCTCTAACAGACTTGGAATAACATTTAAGCTTATACAACTAAGTGTTCGTGAAGCTTCATTAGCAGGGAATAGTTCCAGGAGAAGGATTGTTTGCTCATATAAGTCTAAATATTGGTACGTTTCTTTTCTTTTTCTTTTCTTTTTCTCAAAAAAAGATTTTTTTTTAAGACTAGTCAAGTGCAGTAGTGAGAAGTGGGGAAATAACAAACAAGGGTTTCGATCTGTAACTGACTGTTAACAGTTAATTGAGATAACTCACTAGCTTCAGACCAGCTAACAGTTTCTTTTCTGAAAGGTGTCCCCAATATTTAGATGAAGCTGTTTGCAAATTTAGAGTACCCAAATAGATCTGTCGTTTCACTTTGTTCCTTTGGGTCAGAAAAGGTCTGTCTCCAAGGAACAAACTCCCTCAGATTTGTTAAGGAAATGTTTCATAAAAGGTTCCTTAAGCCAGGTCTTTTAACTGATTTGCCCTTAGGGTCTGACTTCAAAACCCTGCAGTACCATGCCACAGCTTTTGAAGCCAGATTCTCAACTTTCAGTTCATGTTCTGCACAATCCAGCTTTGTTCACTCTGGTACCGGTCTGGGGACTCACTCCACCCTTGTTTGCAACTGATCACTGAGCTTTGAATAAAGGCCATGGACTGACTATTTTCACCATGTGCCCACTAGGCTAAGCATGATTAGTTTTTATTCTCCTAGCTTAAAACAGAATGTTATTGAAAATTGTATTTGTGTGAGTTAAGGATGAAAAGATAAATTATACTTTTAAACAGCATTAAAATGTAGTGTTATACCTTCCTTTGCGTGTTAGATGGGTCAGTAATATCCACACAACTGGGCTTCAGTTAACAGTTTAGCTGAGGCTACAAAGTGTCAAAGCTTGAATTTTGGACTCCAGTGCTGTATCCTGGTCACTAGAATGTGCACAGTCAGCATTTGAAAGAATAAAGGTCATCAGCAGAGAAAGAGAAATACATTTGGACAGGTTCTTTTGAAAATTATCTGTGTGTACACATACCCATGTTGGTGTCATGTGCTTTGGGGCAGGGCATTTTAGCAAGGTCATGTTGTTAGAAATTAACCCTAAAATGTATGGACTTCTTTTTGCTCTGTCATTACTTGGGCAGCACTTACTTTACTAATAATGATTTGCTGCTTATTGAACTGGCTGACTGGTGGCAACTGAGGGAGGCATTAAAAGTTGCTTTCTAGGCAAGTTGGGTTTGTTTTTCATGGTGATGTTTTATTCAGAGTATCTCTTTGTTTTCAGAGTAAGCACCAGTCTCCAAAGAGAACTACATCCCTTCTTCCCATCAACAATGGCTCCAAAGAAAATGGGATCCATGAAGAGCAAGACCAAGAGCCACAGGATCTCTTTGCAGGCAAGTTTGGACTCAAGAGTTGTTCTAGGAACCTCCTAAATGGCTTTGTTAAGTTGCTGAGTTAAAGTCAAAACCAAAGGGGGGAAAAAAATATTGGGAACATAACTTTATGTAAAATACTTTTGTGGAGGATTCCAAAGTACATGAAATACAGGCCCTGCCATCAAGATTCTTTCAGATTTAGGGAGTAAGATATAAATACACAGTTGTTTAAGAAGGTGAGTTAAACTGTTGAAACACTAACAGAAATGCAGCTGGAGGAATGATAGAAATACTAAGTCACAGGAGCTCAGAGGAGTGTGAGACCAGTGTCTAAAGCAGTGCCTGTAGCCTTGTGTGACCACGACTAGGAGTAAGAAATGCATTTGGTGTCATAATCCAAAATATGTGCATACTGGTACAAAACAAACAAAAGTTTTACTTACTACTGGTACTTACTACTTCTAATACAGCCTGAAACTTTTTCTATTGTTTCCTTTTTCAGTGCTCTTTGCAACACATTGAATTGATTTCAAATCCACCAACAAGCTGTAACCTCCAGTTTGAAAAACACTGGTATAGGACAGTTTCTCAACCTTGGCACTATTAACATTTGGGGCTGGATAATTCTTTGTTCAGGGGTGCTATACTGTTCTCAACAGAGAGGGTGCTTTTGCCCCCCAGAAGACATTTGGAAATGGTTGGAGACATTTTTGGTTGTCACAGCTGGGAGTGCTGATGTTATCTAGTGGGTAGAGGCCATGGATTCTGCTAAACACTCTATACACAGGACAGGCCCTCACAACAAGGAATTATTTAGCCCAAAATGTCAGTAGTGCTATTGTTGAAAAAACCCTGTCTAAAGTGATCTTGGGCCGGGCACAGTGGCTCACACCTGTAATCCCAGCACTTTGGGTGGCCAAGGTGGGTGGATCACTTGAGGTCAGGAGTTTGAGACCAGCCTGGCCAACATAGTGAAACCCTGTCTCTACTAAAAATACAAAAAATTAGCTGGGTGCTGTGGCGTGCACCTGTGCTCCCAGCTACTCAGGAGGCTGAGGCAGGAGAATTGCTTGAACCCTGGAGGTGGAGGTTGCAGTGAGCTGAGATCGTGCCACTGTACTCCAGCCTGGGTGACAGAGCAAGACCTCATCTCAAAAAAATAAATAAATAAAGTGATCTTGGAAGAAGCAGGATTTATGTAGGAGAAAAGGAAAAAAGGGCCCCATGGTTGGGCAGGAAGTGTAAGGTATGTTTGAGCGGCAGTCAGTAAAGTTGGTGGACCACAGCAGGACATTCTTGGAGAAGTCATGGAAGATAAGGCTGGAAATGTAATTTGGAAAGAGATTTGGGAGGACCTTACACATTAATAATTCGAGTCTGGATTTTCATCTTCATGCCAATTAAAAGCCATTGGCAGCTTTGTGTAAGGGATGTGATATGGGCAAAGTAATGTTTTAGGAAGACTGACCTAGTGGAATTGGAATTATATTAAATTAATTGCAGTGGGCAGAGACCAGATAATATTTTAGAAGGCAGTCACAAATTAGTTCAAGAATGAAATGGCAAAGACTGAACATAAGGTAATAAAAGCAGGAAAGGAAAGGCGAAAACTTTTCAAAAGGGAAGTCCACAAAATCTGATTTTAGTGATCGAATATAACGGGTATCAAAAAAAAATGCGGATTGAAGACCAAGTCAGAGGTTTCAAGTCCAAGGATTGAGAAGAAAATGGCATCATTATAGAACCCCATTCTAAAGAAAAAATTGTCTTTGGGGAAAAAGTTAGCTTTGGTTTTAGATACTTTAAATTTGAAATGCAAAGGGAAATACCCAGGAGGTGACTTGAACTTTTCTTTCCTACCTGAGGAAAGACAAGAACTGGATATACGGGAATCATCTTTCTAGAGGTGGTAGTTGAAACTTCCATGTGAACGAGATCCTCAAAAGAGTGAATGATGAGGAGGGAGAAAGATGAGGGTGGAGGGTAAGATCTTGGGACAACTCTTACGTTAGAACTCTGGTAGGAAATTGAAAAGACATACAAGGAAAGGAGATTAGAAGAAGGAATATAAAAATTGAGATTCCCTTCATCCCTGAAATTTGAATATACAGTATTTATTCTGTTACTGATTATTTTTTGGATAAAATTTCTGGAGGAGGCCAGGCACGGTGGCTCAGGCCTGTAATCCCAGCACTTTGGGAGGCCAAGGTGGAAGGATTCCTTGAGCCCAGGATTTAAGACCAGCCTGGGCAACATAGCAAAACCTCATCTCTATTAAAAAATAAAAATATAAATAAATTTCTGGAGGAGAAGTGATATGAAGGCAAATAATGAATTTTCTTTGGTTATATGGAAGATTGAAAAGAAAGTGAATTTTCTATCTCTGGGACCTTAACATTTATATGATCTTTCATTGTAAGAAGACCTGACCTAACAGTTTAGTGTGATAGTTACCCAGTGATTGGGTTTTATACACATGAACTTGTAGATCTTTATTAAGGACATACTTGTTCATAGTGAGGATTCTGATTTACTTCATTCCCCTACTAGTTTTATAAGTAGCCAATACCTGCTTCACTTCTAAGAAAGGAACATAAGATATCTCGAAAATGGAATGTCTGCAATGAGACGTTTAGTTTAGGACTTGAATAGCTTCCCAGTTGTTTTAGATATTTGACTGTGGAGACTTAAATGTTCTGATATCATTTTTAAATAATAAATCTAGTGATGATCAGAGTCTCTGATGGAGCCTGAATGCTTTTCCATTACTCTTAACAGGAGTTCAAAGAAAAAAGCATGTTTTAATATAAGTTTTGGCATCTTTATCATGTGAATTTCAGTAGAAGATACACAGTTCTTCAAAAGGCTGTTTTTTGTTTTGTTTTGTTTTTTGTTTTCCCCAAGGCTGGAGTGCAGTGGTGTGTGGTCATGGCTCACTGCAGCCTCGACCTCCCAGGCTCAAGTGATCCTCCCACCTCAACCTCCTGAGTAGCTAGGACTGCAGGCGGGCACCACCACGCCTGGTTAATATTTGTGTATTTGTTTTGTTTTATTTTTTTATAGAGACAGGCTTTTGTCATGTTGCCCAAACTGGCAAAAGGTTTTTAGTAGCATTCTAATAAGTCAAATATTTTAGATGAGCGATACTTCTTGTTTCATTTCCAAACATGTTTGTTAACTGAATTATTTGTGTGGGACCTGCATGATGTGAATATCCAATGCATATTTCAACTGGTTGCTTGTTTCAGAGACTCCTAATATCCTAACATGTTCATGATATGTATGGTTAATCCTCGAACAATGCAGGCGCAGCCAAAAATTTGTTTATAACTTCCCCAAAACTTTTCTAATAGCCTACTAGTGGCCTACTGTTGACTGGAAGTCTTACTGATAAGATAATCAATTAACTAATCAGTTAACATATCTTTTGTATGTTACATGTATTATATACTGTATTCTTACAATAAAGTAAGCTAGAGAAAAGAAAATGTTATTAGGAAAATCATAGGAAGTGAAATGTATGTACCTTTCATTAAATGGAAGTGGTTCGTCGTAAAGGTTTTCATTGTTGCATCCTCACATTGAGTAAGTAGGCTGAGGCAGAGGAGCGGTTGGTCTTGCTGCCTCAGGGTGGCAGAGGCAGAGGAAAATTCATGTATAAACGGACCCATGCAGTTCACACCTGTGTTGTTCAAGAGTCAGCTGTACTTTTTTGCTTGTTTGTTTTATACTCCCACCCCAGAGTCAGATTATGTTACCACCTTTCTAGCTTTCCTGATAGGGATCAGATTTCATTTCTAACAGTGTGGCAACCCTGTTTGCATACTTGATTCACATTTAATGATTAGAATACTGATCTGGGACTTGATTATGCTATAGGCATATATGCGTAAACCATAATCTCTGCTTTTGTTTAGCTCCAAATGAAAAAAGAAGAAGAAACAGCATTCTTTGAATTTCCTAAGATTAAAATAGAATACCTACTGATCAGACCAAACCCAAATAGATATTTATGTTTTCTGTTACTAAAAAAGAAAAAAAGTTTGTACTGTTTAGGCTTAGAGCATCTAGTTCCATTGCTCCAAGTTGAAAGTGCATTCTTTTTATTTGCATGAAAAATTTTGGTGCCTAAAAATGGTACATAATGCTATTTTTAAAGTCCCTTCTCTGGAACACTGAGGGAATGAGTCGTTCTGTTCAACTGAGTTCTTTCCGGATAGACAAAGGCAGCCCTTAAGCACTGGTTTTTAAACTGTTTTGAATAGAAAGATTTTCAGATATTACATCTCTTTCTTCGCAAATTGGATAGCATATATTAAGTATATAATTTAACCTTTACAAGGAGATCTAAACCATTAGGAAAAATTCTTAAATTATGCTAAAATAACCGTGCTGTCATCAGGTGTGGAAAACTTCCCTTTCCCAAATGTTACTGTGTTTGTGTCTTGGCTCCATGTTTTTCTAGCTTATGGTTTTCCTGACTCTTCCTTTGATGTCATTTTTTTTCCTGTCAGTATGCCTGCCTCTTGTATCATATTGGTGTGTAAAGTGAATATCCGAACTTCTTTTACAAACAATTTTTTTTTTTTTTTTTTTTT